GTTCCACAACAAAAGTGATTAAATTTCCTAGCCGCAGGCACTAGGTGCCGTTAACCGGCAGACGGTTACATCACTGAAAGGATTTATAACAACAAATCCAGGCGGTGCGCGAATTTAATAATTCTCGATCTGGAATTTTCACAATCCGAGTAGGTATCTGATATTAAAATGAGTAACTTATGTAGGCCTTCTTGAGTGAAGCCATTCTAAAAGGCTTACCCAAGAAGGGCGAAAAAATGTGCTTCGCTGCATGCCTTCTAAAAGAGATTTTCCTATTGACAATTTACGCGAATATATCAGGCCGATTCTGTACAGAAACTCCCAGGGATTTTTGTTTTGTTTTTTTTTTTCCTTTCCTCCTATCATGAAAAAAAATCGCCTGAGGTTTTTTTTTTATATTAAATGGCGGAGTTGAGCTGTCAAAAAAGTGTCATTCAGCGCTTTCGAAGTTCGAATTTCCTCCTCCCAAATTTTCGGAGAAAATTCTACTCCCAGGGAGTTAATTATTGGAGGATTTATTTCTCGGGAGAAATAAATTCCCGGAGAACAAACTCCCGGGAGTATTTAGGATTGGGCTGTATAAGTTTATATCAGTACCTTGATTCATAGAGGCCCTAACCAACACTTTTTTCGAAACTGCGTTTTCACAGATTTCGGTAGGATATATTTAAATTCAATAAAATAAAAATTCTAGTCTTAGTACCAAAAACAACGTAGTTACATGCCACTTTTTAAAAACCCTACCTGTTTTTGTTATACTTTTTGTTTTTGCTTCTCCTGTAAAATTAAAAATTTGTTGGTTAGGGCCTTTGTGAATTAAGGTAACGATATGTATGTAAAAGCTTAAACAGACGGCAGTGTTGATCCGGATCAACTTGGGAATTAACTGCAGTTGATTCGGATTAAGTGCGAGTTAATCCGGATCAACGCTGCCGTCTGTTTAAGCTTTAAGTAATGCAGAGTGGAAGACCGCTGGATTCTCAGGAAGGGCTTTTTGCTCCTGAAATTACCTATGGGGGGCCGAGTCTAGACAAGTAGCTGTTAAGTCGGCTACAATATCCTGACCGTAATAGGGCAAGAGTAGCGTGGGTCTCTCGTGGTAGTCGAAGCTCACGAGTGGAGATTGGGCTCCGATCACGGCATTCATGCGACGAAAGTTGTGGTTACCGACTCTCTATGAATGCCGTTGATCACTAGTCGGTACGTTGGTGGCTCCAGTGATTGGTCGATCTAATTCTGCACCGAGTCCATGTACTCGAAAATATGCCTTCTATCTTGCCAAGTCTGGAGTTTCGTCCACTGCGTCCAACTAGTCCACGGCGACCAAACTTCAGAATCGGCCGGCCAATTGCCTTGTATATTGCCAGCAACGTTTCTCTGTATTTTCCCCCCAAGTACTGCCGGCTAGCGACTTGAGGACCTTGTTGCGGCTCTATACTTTCTTGACAAATGCGGTTTTGTGCGCGGAGAAGGAAATCATGCTATCAAAAGTAACCCCCAAATTTTTCGGAATTGGGGCCATCGACGTGAATGCCTAGTTGAAGTCTGATCTCCTTTGCTCAGGTAGTGAAGAGGGTCGCTGTTGATTTCGTTGGGGAGAGGGTTGATTTCACTCCTTGCAGTGAACCGAGAAAGTTCGGAGAACAGTCGCCAGCGTATGAGATCAGGGAAATTCCTTTCGGTGGCCTTCGAATCTTCGAAATATTAAAGTTAAACAATAGGGGGATAGGACAGCAACCTGTTAATGCCTTGCTTAATTCTTCTAGCTTTTGAAATTTGACGAAATGTTTTTCTGTTGCGGTTGACAGGGGGTTGGCAGGTGCGGTTGCGGCTAAGCCCACGAGTTATTTGAGTGATTATGGCTTTAACTGTTGTTGTCGCGGTGTGCGCTTTACGGAAACCATGCTGATGCCTCGCTGGGGTAGGTGGTAGGATTAGCAGAACCCCAAGTATCTTTATAACCGGGGAAAGGAGGACGATAAGATCCTCCTTTGTTGTCTCGCTCCCCCCGGTTTCAGCAGTGGGGCCACCCTCCCCGATTTTCATACATCGGGAATGATGACAATGACTATTGACAAGTTGATAGCCTTGGTGAAATATACTCTGGAATTTTTGTGAGTAACTGGTATAGGTCGTAGCTCTAGTCGAATAATTCTCGAAACTTCTTTGAAGATTGAAACACCCTGAAATCCTTAGCTTACTCATAAAAACGGTACTTGTGCAAAGCTTTGCTTAGCAAATAACTTATAAAAAAATGTGTTAGTTATTGACAAGTATGCAAATCATAATGTTAGAATCTTAAAAAAAATGCTTGATAAATTCTTCGACCAGGCATACGGCCTGTACCCGAAAAATAGAAAGATCGCGCTTTTATCTAGATGCTGTTACACCTGGTTTTCGTAATAAATGTGTTTGAAATAAAAAAAACTAAAAACAACAAGCCAAGTATTTGAAATATATAAAAAGAAATAAAAAGCATAACTAAAATAAAAAAAAATAAATAACAAGAAAATTAGAAGAAAACAAGTAAAACTTCGATAATGTCAAGAACCGAATCAAATAAAATTAAACTCAAAATGTGTTTTTCATTTATTTTTTTACTTAAACTCAATTACCATTACTACAGCAATACATTGTATTATTTAACTCTAAAAACTTTTAAATAAACGCAATATAACTTAAATAAGCAATAAAACGTAAATATGTAAATACATATACATTTTTTTGTGGTAAGATGAAATAAAGAAAAGTATAACAGAACCGACACAGTGGGCTGAAATGGTTTGTTTTGTTTTTATAATTATGCTTAACTTTTTAGCTCATAAACTTCACTCACATGGACAGATACATTTTTTATTACACTTTTCATAATTATTTCATGTTCTAAGTTTTGCTTTTTACAGCTGCACCACACACTATGCCTGGTTTGTTAAAATAAAAATTATCATTTACGTACAGACTTATAAGCTGGTTCAAAACAATATTTTTCACGATTTACAAATTAACGCCTTAAGCATTTTAAAAATGTTAGCATTAGTGCGTTATTGCTTGGCTGCTCACCTTTTTTTTTATGTATTTATTAATATTTAATTTCAAATTAAAAATAAATGGATTGAAATAACTTAAATTTTTAAAAGGAAAATAGTGATGACTATAACAGTAATCCAACGTAGTCCGATTTTTCGTGACATCTATGAAAATGGCTATGAACGTCTGCATTCAAAGTATAGACTACGTTCGTGGCTATTAGATTTCAATGATAGATTTCACGAAAAATCGGACTACGATGGATTCTGTGATAGCCTTGAGTATGTTTTACAATTTCTTGCAAACTTACTTGCATAATAGAGCGGCGCATAAAAATATACTTACAAACAAAAAATAAATAAATAAGCTTGTGATTCTATGTATGTATATACATCTGCGGTAAAAAAAAAACAAAAAACACCTTAGCATTTTGACTAGTTTTGACAATTCTTTTTTTGTTTATTTAATGCTTGTTAATTTTTTATAAAAGTCTGGCTCATTATATAACATACACCATATAAAAACACATTTCAAACCTTAGACACAAGTTATAAAAACCCAAAATATGTTCACCAAAATTTCAAACTTTTTAATCAGAATTTTTGTTATGCATTGAATTTTGGTATAATAAAGAGCAAGCTTGAAGTTAGTAAAAAAATTCCGTTGATTTTGATAAACAAGTTTGAAATTTTGGTATTTTTTTTTTTTTAATTGTTGTACAATGTTTGGAATTTGGATTTATATGGTTTTTATTATACAACGGTATACTAATTAACACTAAACAAATAAATGAAAAATAATAAAAACTGGTCAAGATGTTGGGGTGCTATTTTTTTTTACCGGTACTGTATATAACTATAGTTTAATTTTATAGCTTTGCCATAGGAGTATACAAAATTTACATTTTCGTTTTTCGCCTTAATTTCATTACATATTTTCAATAAAAAAAAAAGAATTCACTACTCAAATGCCAAAATGTCAGTTATGTAATTGCAGCTGACTGCAATCAAGTTCTAAATGTTTTCACAAGCTGCGCATAATTTTAATTCACAATGACTAAGCAGTTTGAAATATAAACAAGAAATGCGAAAATATATTAAATAGTGTAAAGGACTAGGAAACATGAACAACGTTTTCAGTTTTAGTTTTTTTTTTTTTTTTTTGTTGTGGGTTTGGAAGGTTCGATCAAAGCGCCATAAACATAGTTTTTTTTTTTACAAATTTTTACGCTAAGTCGACTGGCCTGTAGAGGGCAGCTAAAAGTTTAATTGCTGCAAGCACGTAAAAATACATTTTATAATTTCAATTTCAGTTACTGGAAGCAGCCATCGGTATGCAACGCAATATTCTGCAGTTTTTTGCATCAGTCTACTTTTATAAACACTCCTCCCGTTGTTCGGCTGAAACACATAACCAAAACACAGAAACAGAGTTTATAGCAATCTGCGTCTTTAGCGCACATTAGTGTTAAACAATAAATAAAATAGTTACTAAACTTATTTCCATGTATGTTTGTCTTAAAATTGTCGTTATCAGAATGCGCACTCTTTTTATTTTATATATACATACATATGCATGTATGCATACATACATATACATTTATATTTTCTTATATGTTAATACTGCATTCCTTAAACAATTGCTTACTGCGTTTTTTTTCGTTAAAAGATAACTGTTTAACAACTTTTTGCTGCACTTCTTCCTTTACATATTTATATGTATGTATTTTAATCATAATCTCCGCTCTTTATATTTCTTAAGAAGTTAGTAGAATATTTTGGCTTTAAGTTGTATTTTTTTTGTTTACTTTTTCTTGTTTTTCTTTGTTTGTTTTAATACACAATCAATGATTAGTAAATTTTCGATTTGTGTGGTTTTTTCACTTAACGGGTACAAAACTTTATTTTCGATATTTCATTGTATATTATTTATAATGCGATATATATGATTTGAGTATATATATATAAGTATATGTATTGTGAACAGGAAGATATAGTTATTCAATTTAAATTACTGATACATATTTATTTGTTGTATATATATATATCGTGTGAACTTAATTGGTAAATGATTTTTTCACCTTTTTACTTGCGCTTTTGACGCATTGTTACAAACTAACAAAAAAATTTTATTACATAACAAAACAGATGCTGACAACAAACAAAGGAAATAGTCTTCGATGCGACATGATGATATGAAATGGAACTGTTACATATGTATGTATATTAAAAAGCGATAGAGTTGTGACGGATTGCGGCCAGAGAGGTATGTAATTGCTTCTCTATTTTCTTTCGATTACTTTACTGGATTTAGAATGTTGCAGCTGCTTGAGGATGCAGACAATTTTAAAAATTTATTGTTTTACTTTGCTCAAAAGCATACATTTTGTTTTTGATTTTAAATTTGTATGCTCTTTGCGCAGCTGCAACTTTCTATTTTGAAAATTCCACGATTCACGCCTTTAAATTAGTGCAGATAGCGATAACAGATGCGAAACCTTGGAACAAAAAATTATATGTAATGAAATTGATGAAAAGAAATAAATAACAATTACTGCTGCTCTCAAAGTCAATGCTTAGTGTAATACAGCCTATTTGGCCCTGTCCTACTGTCCTACTTTCTTCACTTTGACGATGCTGCACTCGATGCACCTCCGCCGCTTGTCTGCGTTTGCGCTGACGCTGGCGTTGTTCTTGTCCCTGTCATTGTCGTTTGCAACTGTTGTGTACGTTGCTGCTGCTGTTGCTTCAGTTTGTCAAATATTTGCAGCTTCGACTTAACGGCACCCTCACATACGGTCAAGCGCTGCTGTGTCGGTTTCTTATCCAAATCGAAACAGAACGCTTCATAATCGGAATTCATAGTCGCATGTCGCTTGAAGTCTGTCGTGTAGCGCCTCATATCGTACGCTCCTAAATTGCTAAGCCCGTATGTGGTAGCGGCCATTGCGGCAGCCGCTGCCGTGGATGCGGAACTGTTCGATGTGCTTGTGTGTGTGCTGCCTGCACTAGTAGTACCACTGCCGCTGCGTAGAAAGGCACCACGGCTGGGTGGCACCATGTCAGGTACTTGTCGTTTCCGTTCGAAATACTCAACAATTGTGGCGATTTGTTCTGAACGCTTGCTGGGTATAGCAGTGAAGGAACGATCGTCCCATAGCAACGAATCGGAACCGGCCAAGCTGCTGATGTCATCCGAACTGTCGGTGTAAATGGATGAGGTGCGATTCTTGCAGTAGAGCAATTGATTGACAGCGAAATTGTTGCGTTGTAAAACCGAATGTATGCCCGCATCCAGCGCTAAGCGATTCATAAGACCCATGTCGATTGAGGTGGTTGAAGCGGCCGTAGCTGTGACATTAGGATCGTGTAAATTTGATGCGCCTAAAAGATGATGATGATGACAGGTGTAGCGGCGATGATGCGGGCGACCGGTATCCGGCAGTTCTAGGTCGTCGAGGGAACGTAAAGCAGCCGCTTCGTGCGAGAGAGATGCGCCCGAGGAAGAGGTATTTACCGTGTTTATTTCTGGGTCGAATAGCAGCACCGAGGAGGAGTTTGATGATGAGTCTGTCAAGAGTTGGCCGCCATTACCTTGCTGTGCTTGTAGACCGGCCGTCGAGCCCGTGCAGGCGTAGTAACAACAACGACACAGACTGGCCAATTTGTCGCTACGTAAAAGAACATAAGAGAAATTACTTTTGCGCGAGTTCTGATGCTACATACTTAGCTTTGAATGAATGCCCTTTCTAGCTAAACTTCTGTATTTTTGCAAACTGATTTGAACATTAAAGCAAAAATAATATATATGTATATGCTTCCACTCACTTGATTTCGTTGTTTGACCCCGCCTCCAGCATCAGTTGCGCTTTCAGCTGTTCGATGCAGCAGTTGCTGCCACATGCGAAAGGCAGCGCGCCACTTCCGCCTGCTCCAGCGCAGTTTAGCTGTCGATAAGTGGTCGAGTTGGTGATTGCTGGATCGGATTCTTCGTTGAAACACGAATAAAATCCACTTTCGATGGAATCTCGCCGTGTAAGAGTGCCTTTAATCGGCAGCAAATCACTTGGTTTTATTTCGTGCAACTCAAAGTCGGTACAGGATGAAACGGATGCCGGTGTGGCTACGGATGAAGCAACTGGTGGCGCGGCCAATGGCGTTGGTGACGCAATCATAGATGCTGCAATATTTGCAGGCATTTTCATTTTCGGTGAATTGCGCTCATCACAGCCATCCTCAGAAGTCGAATATACTGCGTTTCCCGCACCATCAGCGCCTACAACCGTCGCTGCTGTACTCATGGTTGCCGTTGATGCCGACCCTGTTCCTGTCACTGCGCTGACCGGAGCCTTGTCCAAATTAGCATTTCCAGTGGTGTTCCCGTTTCCACTACTACTCAAAAATAGAGGATGCGTAAAAAGCGAATTGGCGCGATACTTGCGCGCAGCTGGCGTTGAAAGATGCATAGCACGTGGCTCGGCGGAGTCATCACTGCTTGATTCGGCATCCGCGCAATTACCACCGCCATCGCCATCGGGCTCAGCATCGGACGCACAATCGTCGCAATCATCGTCGTCCTCGACAACTGGGGAGTCTGCGGTAGCTGTGACCACTGTCGCGTTTTTACCTTGCGATTTCAACTCAGCGACGCTGAATTTGCGCGTCAATTGCGGCGATGAGGGCAAGCTCTTTGGTTCGTTAGGTGCGGACGGCAGTCCACGACCACCGCCAGCACCAACGCCACCACCACCCATACGGGCTGCGACCGCGCAACCAACCTCACTTGTTGTCGCCGTTTTGTTTGTGCTTTTGGCCAACTCAGCCGCCAGCTCTTTGAAGAACGGCGCTGACATCTCAAAACATGAACTAAACAAATCCCCCACACCGGCGGCATAGGTTTTTGGATTGGCACCTAGTATCTTTTTGACGCCACGCAGCTGTGCCAGCGTTGTGAATGGGTTGCTCTTGACGCCATTGTGATCGGAACGTATGGGCTTGTAGTGCGGGTCCTTCAAGCACATTGTCTCCGCGACTTTGCGTAACGTTAGTGCGGCCGTTTGCGGCGTCGGTAGCGTTTTTGCGGCTACGGTTGCTTGTGTGGCATCGTCTGCGACCGTAGCAACGCTGGCTTCCAATGCTGATGCGTGCTCACTACCACCGTTTATGCGCGACTGAGCTGGTGGCGTTGGAGAGTGTGTGGACGAGCGCTGTCGCTGCATTTGGTGGCAACGCGCCTTGTCGCTAGGCGTAGTGTGCAGGGGGAAGTGAATGATGTTTTCACTAAAAGAGCGACGATGCTGCTGCAACTGCAGATCAGCTTCTAGCTTCTTGGTGACACGACGTACGCGCGTCTCCAGTACGTGATCTTCGAATTCGTTGTAGTCCGCCGACGAACCATTGGGTGTTTGATAGGGCGTTGTACTGCAGTCAGTGCCACCATTTTTGCCATTGGGGAAACGAAAGCCATTCTCATCTAATTCATTGTAATGTTGTGGCGAGCGGGAGCCTGCGGGCGCGGTTTGGACAACCGGCACACTGCTCTTACGACAACTGCAGCTTGCTGAATTTCGAAGTGGATTACTGGAGTAGCATTGTCGCATGCATCCGTTTTTGTGACTCGCCGATTGATTTAGGTTTTCTCTTTCCATCGATGTTAAGCTGCCGCCACTAAGTGAGCCATTCAACTCAAGTGAATTCAGGGGACTCGATGTGCTGCAATCTCCATTGCAACCATTTTCATGCTCTTGTATAATTTGCTTCAACTTTTTAATGGTTTCATGGAAAGTCGGGCGGCTCTTGGCTTCATACTGAAATGAAAATTAAAGTTCGAGTGCTCTCTACACAATATTTTAGTAAATCTATTTACGAGACAACAGTAGAAGGCCAGTCTTAGAAATACAGCCGGTGTATCCACGGGGCATATCTCGGCGAAGGCTAAATAGTCCAGGCCGAAGGCGTCGGTGCGCGGCATCACATCCGGATCGGCGACTATGCGCGCTATTATCTCGCATTGTATAATGCCAAAGGAGAAGACATCGCTCGTCTGATCATACCACTGACCCTTGAGACACTCAGGGCTTACCCAATACGGTGAGCCGACTGTGTCCAGGCGCGTTTTGCCACTACAAATAGAAGAAATAAATTAATTTATTACTTAAAAAAATATCTTGCATGCGACACAATGCAGAAGAGAAAATTTCTCTCGATTGTAGATAAATTTAAAGAGAGAAAAAAAATTTAAAAAAAAAAATAAATAAATAAATTAAATGAAGGGAAAAATGCTTCGGTTGCATCCCCAGCGTCACATTTTCTCTGGCAATCATTTTTTTTTAATAGTTCAACTGGAATAATCAAAATACCTCCTTAGCAAAACTTCAATAATTTTTTATGGGTGGTACATTTTGACTCAGGAGTGTACGGAGAACTAGTTTTTCGGTACAGTTTAATGTGCATACTGAAAATCCTAAATAATTTCTGTGTTCGTATGGAATAGTAGCTTATGTCGGGAAGTTGGTTTTAGTGTAATGCGGCATTACTTTTATTAATAATAAATAATAATAAGAATATTGACTTGCCAGTATCGGCACGTATTTCGTGCACGTTTATTGCCAAAAGTTCTTCAACGGCTCGGCGCCAGTGAGTCATTCTCAATCGTATGCTGCGAATGCCGCATTATACTAAAGCCAGCCTTTCGACATAAGCTACTATTCCATACGAACACAGATATATATAACATAAATTCGACGAACCAAATCAGGAATACATTTTATGTTGTAATTTGACTTGTTGAACAACAAAAAAAAAATTAACCTGTGATTGGATGTGTCAACCAAATAAAAAAGAAAAATAAGTTTGAATTTTAATTTGTTTCGCCAGACCAACAAAAAAAATAAATTTTATGTTATTTGATTCGTCGCCCAAATTAAAACTGAATATTATTTTTAAAATTAGATTATTCGTAATGAAATTTTAGTTTGAAATTTTTGGTTTGTTTCGTCTGACAAATAAGAAGTAAAATATTTGTGATTTGATTCGTCCACCAAATTAAAACTAAATTTTATTTTTGATTTGATTAACCAACCGGACAAATAAAAATGAAATTTTATTTTTAATTTGATTCGTTGGCCAAATTGGCGAATCCAAATGATCCGCTCGATAAACAAACCACAAATAAGATTTATTGCTTATTTAATTTATGAATTTTAATTTTTTATTTGCCGAACGGATTAAATCACAAATACAATTTTTTTTTTTAGGTTGTCGAATAACCTTTATTTTTAACATACTTCAAAAAAGGAGAAGGTTATCAATTGCTCAGAATATTTATTATTATTTTTTTTTATGTAAGTTACCGCATAACTTTGGACCACGTCAACCGATTTTGATAACTCTATCGGAAAGGTAGTGTATACGAGGTGGTCCCATGCTAATTTGGTTTCGATCCGATCACTGAATCATGATGAAATTAACGATACTCCAAAATTTTTATATGAGAATTGAAGTCGGTTTCGTTTTTTTTTTGCTTAAAAATTACTTGTTAATTTATCAAACGAATAAAATCACAAATAATTATTACTTTTCGGTTGACGAATCAAATCACAAATCAAATAGATTTCTTAATAAGTAGAGGATTTAAATTCAAAAAGGATTTATGCATTATGTTATTAGTTTACCAACTTACTGCTTATCTGGTATTTTTGCCGCCAAACCGAAATCGCCCACCACTGCATCAAATTGGCCATCAGACAAATTGCGAATTAACACATTCTGCAAAATAATGCAAATTACTTCGAAATTATATTTAGTTCATATTTTCCATAATTTTTGTTTTTACGCACTTTGCTTGTCAAATCGCGATGGAAAATGCCCGCATCATGCACATACGCCATGCCATTTGCAATGCCCAGCGCCAGTCTTAATTTCATAGCAGCTGTTAGCACAGCTTCTTGGTTGGCCAGCAGCTGCTCCAGCGAACCACCTTCGATGTATTCAGTGAGGGCATGCAATTGGCCCTCTTGCACACAGACACCCATGAAACTGAAAAAAAAAAATTAAAATTAAAAAAAATTAGTTTCAGTATATATAAGAGACAATTACAAGTTTCTTTTTTGAAAAACTCTAAGTTGTAAACTATGTATTTGTTTTTATTGTTAAATAAATTAGATGTAACCAATTATTATTCATTATGCTACAAGTTTTTACCACTAAACCAAATTTTTTTTTTTTTTTTTTTTTTTACGGCGACACCTTTTTTCATAAGTCGTCTACCACGATTATACCATATATTAATTAAATACACAATTTTGAAATTGATTTAACGGTTTATTGCTAGATTAGCATTATAAAATTAATAATGATTAAACAAAAACTTATAAAGAGAGCGTGCTATCAGAAATGGCGTCAATGAAACTGGCAATATTAACCAGAACGTTTTTCTTTTTTTTTTGTACGATAAGTTTTTAATTGCCGATGAACTGATTAGTTAATGAAATATGGTGTTGTGATAAGATAAGCCAAGAATAAAAATGTACGTGACAATCCATGTACACCAGCTCATTACTGCGACCCAAAATCGCGGCAAGCAAAAAAATCGAAAGAACACTCGTTTTAAGGGTTAAAGTTTTTTACTTCAAAAGTTTGTTTGCGGCTTTGCGAAATTGAATGCAATTCGATGCGGTTGATATGCTTCATGTCACTGAATATTTATTCTTTGGTGATATTTTGAACGTTGAAAGTTGTGGGAGAAATTCTGATCGTAGAACCGGATTTTGGAGGTAAAAATGTTTTGAAAAGCAAATATATGTAGATATGTACATTAGACTGCATCACCAAAAAAAAAGTAGGTTCGGTTTTTCCGCCGGGATTACAAAACTTAATATAAATATTTGAAGACATCCACGAAACTATTTCGGAAAAATATCAAAATTTACTTGAGCTGGACCGATTACAACATACCTCCAAACATGGAGTTTTTTTATGAATAAAATAATTTCTTAAAGAACTGTTTGAAAAAACTCCCCGCAGATGATGGAGGTTAAATCTGTAACGGCAAAAATATTTAAATTTTTTTCCAACGGAATCGTAATTTTGAAATTTTTTATGCCCTTTTTTAACTTTTTTCAAAGATTGGTTTTAGAAATGTGTGAATAACTGGGCCAAAATAATTTCGATTTTAACTTATGATGTATCAATGTAAAGGTATTTGCCCACTCTATTTACTTGTTTGCAAAAAAAAAATTATAATTCGCGTACCAAAATTTCTTTTCAAATACCGACACATCTTAATTCAACTTGGAATGACGCTCATTCAAGAAATAAAATGTTGGAGAAAATATCTTTCCAGTGATACCCCATAAGTTTTGGTCCAGTCGTTCCTCGAAGAGTAATTGGGGCGCCAATGTCAGTCTAATATGGCCACAGTAAGAGCTTTTCAACTTTTTAATGGCCTTAGGTTTAACAAAAGTTTTGCGAAGAGATCCTTGGGCCGCAGTAGAAACCTCTATAATTTTATAACGATAAATTTCATAATACATACCATCCACGTCGTACCGAACAGATTCGTATTTTTTGCCCTTGGTATCAGACAAAATGATTGAATTAATTTGGTGATTTATGGCTTTTTTATTTAGGAAGTTTACAAGTTTATCAACCTCAAATTCTCCGTTTGTCAGAGAATGAAAATAACTATTTCTAAGCTTATGTTAATCATATAGGCATGGAAAACTTTATAGCCTACTTCCGCCAAAACCTTGACTACAGTTAAGAGTTCAGGTAAGTTCCAAGAATTTTAACATGGGACGATCTACTCTGCCTTTTGCTTTTTTTACTTTCGTTTGCTGGTACTCAATATGAGCAATAACCCCCTTCGAGTTGTAATCTCCTTGTTCCTGTACATAGTCATAGTTAAGGCTTATCTACTTTAGATTTTTTCCAAAAAAAAAAAGAAAAAATTTGCTTCGGCTTTTGCTAGCAATTGTTTAGCGCATAATACATATCAATAAAAATTTTCAATTAACACACTTTTGAATATGTCATTTTCTTGCAACAGATAACAACAATTAAACATTACAATTAAACATTAACTTTATTGAATATCTGAATTAATTCCGAACTCAAGCGCTTCTATTCTGGAGGTCAACGTAACTACTCGACTGACTCAATATTTCAATCTCGTGAACTCGTGAATTTTTACGATCCTTATAAATTCTGTATACGCGCATTGAATGCCTTAAAATAAAACAATTGATAATCATCTAGATTATGGCAAAATAAATGCTTGGCAAATTAATTGTGCAATCAAGAGGCGTTTCAAGACGAAAATAAAGATGCGAAATGAAGGCAATTAATAACAAAGTATGTACATAAGCCTACATACATACATATATCTCAGAGGTGTAACAACAGTATCGGTCAAATTGGGCAATGAACCTTCATTGCTTAGCGTTGGAAATTTTTTTGAAAAAAAGGAAATATTTCTTCTTTAAATGCATACATATTTAAGTGGGGAAAATGTAGTACTTAAGCGGCTTTATTGTTGCTTTTACGAGCATCAATGCACAAAATTGCGTGTGCGCGCGCAAGAGATTTTTCATTGATATTTTACCTTTTTCTTAATTACGAGTATTTTTTTTTTATTGACTCTTAGTTTATTTTGGAACACCACACACACACACACCAGCATGCAGACACTCACAAACAAAAGAGTTTTCACAATATTTATGCGCATTAAAAAACATTCACTGATTGCATTTTTCAAATGCTCTAAACGCACTTGCTCAAGTGTAGTAAAATTTTTCGGCTTAATGACTTGCAATAAATTTTATTACTATCCACAAACTATGTAGGCTGAGTTAACCAGCAGGTTGGCTATGCAATCTTAACATAATCGGTCAACACTTTGCATTTTATTATGCGCAGAAAATTATTGCCCTGTTGTTGGCTGTGTGCCTCTCCACACTTAACTTTCACCAAATAGTAGAAGAAAAGTAGAGGAAAGGAATTTTTGGAATTTGTTTAATGGCTCCTAAAAAATATAAAGCCAAAATCATTTATTTTTGCGTAGAACCTACGCGAATTAAAAAATTTCCATTACGTCAAAACAAAATACATTTTTTTAACATTCGCTTTCGTCAAGCTCAAAGTTCGTTGGTATAAGTTTACAAGTCAAAGTCAACTCATGTTTATGTGATCAGTTAAGAAAATGTTGACATGTGAGCGTCCTTAACCTTTGACGCTACTACCGGCACAAACAAAACAAACTCGCTCGATTGCTCACTCACGCACTTAACCACAAAAGCAATTAAGTCTTGATTTAAATTTAATGTGCGCTCCTCATCAACCTGTACGTGAGTTGTAAGCACAAAGACGCTTTATATGTAGATATGTATACATTCTTACATACATACATATGAACATATGCGTACATATGAATATACATACGTTTTAAATATTAATGCGAAGACACTATTCCGCTTACTCAATTGCCCACTTTAGTGTTTTTCACCCTACCCGGCCGGCACATACAGCCACCAGCCTCTGTCACATGTATGTCATGCGCAAATTTAAATTATTTAAAGTACTCAACCTTTTAATTGACAGTTGTTTGTATGAATGTATGTATGTAGCAAAGCGGAAATTCGCCAAAAACTGTCAAAATTGTCAAGTTAAAAAAATAGCAAATATCAGCGACCACCACCGATATTGATAGTCGTCGTACACAGCAGATATATGTACATAGATAGGCAGGGAAATATATACATAAGTACATATTTATCAATAAACATTCCGATATACTTATGTACATATGTACATACATTAGACTGCATCACTCCCCACACAAAAAAAAAAATAAAAAATCTGTACTGTGTTCCCATTGGAATTATAAAATCTATTATATTTTAAGACTTCTGCCAAAATATTTCGGAAAAATATTAAGATTTACGTGAGCTGGACCGATTGGAAAATACCTCCAAAAGAAAGTTTTTTTGAATAAAAATAGTTTCTAAAGATTTTTTTTGAAAAAAATCACCTCAAATGACAAAACGGTTTAAACTTAAAAAAAATGCATAAAATTATTTAAAAAAAAAAAATTAAAAAAAAAATTAAAAAAAAAAATTAATGGAATCGTAATAATGAGATTTTTGATGCTGTTTTTTTTAACCTTTTTCGAAGATTGGTTGGTATAAGCAAAACTTGAATAACTTCACCTAAACTCTTCCGATTTAGACTTTTCAGGTATCATGGGAAAGGTATTTTCTCAAACTTTTTATTTCTTTGCTAAAACTCATTTAAAGGATGAAAGACAAGGGCCGCATAAACGAACGTCATTCAAAGTTGAATTGAAATGTGTTGGTATTTGAAAAAAAAAAAGAGACAGAAATAAAAATAGTGGGAAAATACCTTTCTACTGAGATCCCATAAGTCTAAATCAGAATAGTTATGGCCTAGTAATTCAAATTTTTCGTAAATCAATATTTGAAAAAAGTAAAAAAAAGACACCATCAAAAATTTCACTATTACGATTCCGTTGAAAAGATTTTTAAATATTCTTATGCATATTTTTTAAGCTTAATCTGTTTCGTCATCTGAGGGGACTTTTTCAAAAAGTTCATTAAGAAACTTTTTTTATTCATAAAAAAATACATTTCTAGGGGCGGAAAAACTGAAAATTTCTTTTGGCGATGCAGCCTAATGTACATTATTGCTGATTAACACATGAATTTGTTTCTACATACAGTAGTGGTCAGAAGAAGGTTAATATTATTAAAAACTTACGGACTCTACTGGCTACATTGGTATCGTAAAAGACTAATTAGAGCCCGCTCTAGCATATGGTGACGTACAATATCAATGTCAATATAATTAATGTCAATTGTCAGAAATGTTAAAAATCATGCCAAATTTACGGTGACGTGGTTAGCGAAAATGACATCCATGAACACTGTTTCTTATCGTCCATAGACAATATTACCTTTTCGAAAGCGCAGTAAAATCCATGCACGTTTCTGCTCGTGGCTTCGAGTCCCATGGCCAGATTT